TGTTTGTACTCACGAGGAAAAAGACGAATGTTTGTACTCACGAGGAAAAAGACGAATATTTGTACTCACGAGGAAAAAGTCGAATGTTTGTACTCACGAGGAAAAAGACGAATATTTGTACTCACGAGGAAAAAGTCGAATGTTTGTACTCACGAGGAAAAGATAAATGTTTGTACTCACGAGGAAAAGATAAATGTTTGTACTCACGAGGAAAAAGGCGATGTTTGTACTCACGAGGAAAAAGACGAATGTTTGTACTCACGAGGAAAAAGACGAATGTTTGTACTCACGAGGAAAAAGACGAATGTTTGTACTCACGAGGTAAAAGACGAATGTTTGTACTCACGAGGAAAAGATAAATGTTTGTACTCACGAGGAAAAAGACGAATGTTTGTACTCACGAGGAAAAAGACGAATGTTTGTACTCACGAGGTAAAAGACGAATGTTTGTACTCACGAGGAAAAAGGCGAATGTTTGTACTCACGAGGTAAAAGACGAATGTTTGTACTCACGAGGAAAAGATAAATGTTTGTACTCACGAGGAAAAAGACGAATGTTTGTACTCACGAGGAAAAAGACGAATGTTTGTACTCACGAGGTAAAAGACGAATGTTTGTACTCACGAGGAAAAAGGCGAATGTTTGTACTCACGAGGAAAAAGACGAATGTTTGTACTCACGAGGAAAACGTCGAATGTTTGTACTCACGAGGTAAAAGACGAATGTTTGTACTCACGAGGAAATAGATAAATGTTTGTACTCACGATGAACGCCTCCTGTTGATCTCAGATGGCCTGAGGCTGGAGCGCCGAGTCAGCTGGGTGGAACTCTGGAAGTGGACATCCTTGTTGCTGACCACAGACTTGGTCTTAGACTTGGGAGAGGTCGACGATCTCTCCGTCGCCATTTCGTGGGGCTCTTGGCGTAATCCTTAGTCCAGGGATAATCCTGGCAGAATCATGAGTTAAACTGACAGAATCATTTCTTTAGATCTGTGTTAATCTGAAATAATCCTCTACTTTAAATATGTGTTAAACTGAAATAATCCTCTACTTTAGATCTGTGTTAAACTGAAATAATCCTCTCTTTAGATATGTGTTGAACTGAAACAAATCCTCTACTTTAGATCTGTGTTAATCTGAAATAATCCTCTACTTTAGATCTGTGTTAAACTGAAATAATCCTCTACTTTAGATCTGTGTTAAACTGAAATAATCCTCTCTTTAGATATGTGTTGAACTGAAACAAATCCTCTACTTTAGATCTGTGTTAATCTGAAATAATCCTCTACTTTAGATCTGTGTTAAACTGAAATAATCCTCTACTTTAGATCTGTGTTAAACTGAAATAATCCTCTACTTTAGATCTGTGTTAAACTGAAATAATCCTCTCTTTAGATATGTGTTGAACTGAAACAAATCCTCTACTTTAGATCTGTTTTAAACTGAAATAATCCTCTCTTTAGATATGTGTTGAACTGAAATAATCCTCTACTTTAGATCTGTTTTAAACTGAAATAATCCTCTCTTTAGATCTCTGTTAAACTCAAATAATCATCTCTTTAAATTTGAAATTATTTTCTCTTTAGATATGTGTTCAACTGAAATAATCCTTTCTTTAGATCTGTTTTTAAACTGAAATAATCCACTGTTTAGATCTGGAATAAACTAGCACAACACACTCTGTAGGTCTGGGTTACACTACAGAACTCTCTCAACTCTCCCCCCAGTCAACAAATGTTGACACTGGCCCACCGATCTCAAGTCTAGCAGCGTTAACCCCGTCTAGCGTCCATTGATCCCTCTGTTGCTGTCTTGTTTACATGCCTACCCCCACTGTGTTGGACTACAGGACATACAACCCACCAATATAAACCCTATACCACTTCAAGTCCCTGGGTCATAAAACACCTTCGACACCGGGTGAGACCCATACACGTCGGCCGTGAAAGAGTTCATACACATACAGTCTATGTAATGACTTGTACATGTTATTCCTGTTTCGTTTTTTATTCGAGTGGCGAAAAATTTGAAAAAAAAAAAAAGCAATTATTTTTTTAACTTTCGCACGGCTGAAAAAGACAACTGTCTATTCGCACGGCTGAAAGAGACAACTGTCTATTCAGAGGGAAACGATTTCGGGATAGCTCTGCGGGTAATTGGAATTTTCAATCAGATCGATTCACTTGGACGAGGCGATACGGCCCAGTGATTCGGGCGTTTATCTCGCTTTCTCCGACCCGCCGCCCATTTCCGATCAGTTCTTGAAAATCGATCATTGATAGTGAATGATCTCATCGGCTTGTCGATATCCAATTAACTCCGATCAGTGGAATCGACTGCTGTAGCGTAGGCAGGGGTTAGGGGTTAGGGGGGGGGGTCAGAACCCCCCTCCCCCATAGACCCCTCGGTAGATAAAGGTTGAGCGGGGGTGCAAAATCAAAAGTCTGAGGGGGGGTGCAAATCAAAAGTTTGAGGGGGGTGCAAATCTAAAAATTTGAGGGGGGTGCAAATCAAAAGTTTGAGGGGGGTGCAAATCAAAAGCTTGAGGGGGGTGCAAATCAAAAGTTTGAGGGGGGTGCAAATCAAAAGCTTGAGGGGGGTGCAAATCAAAAGTTTGAGGGGGGTGCAGATCAAAAGTTTGAGGGGGGTGCAAATTAAAAGTTTGAGGGGGTTGCAAATCAAAAGTTTGAGGGGGGGTGCAAATTAAAAGTTTGTCCTCGGGGGCCGGGGAGGGACGCTACGCCTCTGATATATACATTTATGATGCGGGAAAAAACTTGAACCCCCCCCCCCCATGAGACGATCCTGGCTACGCCACTGGCCTGAGATTTACTGTAGCCAACAATATCAAACACGAGATTTACTATAGCCTCCAATATCTGAGATTTACTGTAGCCAACAATATCAAACACGAGATTTACTATAGCCTCCAATATCTGAGATTTACTGTAGCCAACAATACCAAACATGAGATTTACTATAGCCTCCAATATCTGAGAGTTACTGTAAGCCTCCAATACCTGAGATTTACTGTAGCCAACAATTTTCGTATTTAGTATAGCCTCCAATACCTGAGATTTACTGTAGCCAACAATATCAAACACTAGATTTACTATAGCCTCCAATATCTCTGATTTATTGTAAGCCTCCAATATCTGAGATTTACTGTAAGCCTCCAATACCAAACACAAGATTTACTGAATCCACAACTATCTGATATTTATGTATTGACATTCTGTGTGTAAAGAGCACTAAGCAAAGTAAAAAGGCGATATAACCATAAACTGTACTACTCGTAGTGCCAATAGCCGCGTCTTGAGAAGCGTGGAGCCCGCTAGAGTCAACTAGAGACAATTGTTTGACTGCCAAATAGTGCTGTTTCCCGACAGAGAAATGTACGGGTTCTGATTTATGAGCCGGCCCACACTATGTCTGGTGACTAGAGTCTTTTAGGTTATATTATGTGTAGACCTATTGGTATTTTTCTAATGCTGACAAGCTCGAAATCTGCAAGCATGGGTTACATTTTTATCACAGACTGAAACACCACGTCATAACGGGCAGAACCACCTCAACATGAAAGACTGAACACCCCACCATGAAAGACTGAACCACCCCACCAAAAGAGACTGAACCACTTCACAAAATGAGACTGAACCACCCCACCAAAAGAGACTTAACCACTCCAAAAGAGACTAAACCACCCCACCAAAAGAGACTTAACCACTCCAAAAGAGACTAAATAGAGACTAAACCACTCCAAAAGAGACTAAACCACTCCACCAAAAGAGACTTAACCACTCCAAAAGAGACTAAATAGAGACTAAACCACTCCAAAAGAGACTAAACCACTCCACCAAAAGAGACTTAACCACTCCAAAAGAGACTAAATAGAGACTAAACCACTCCAAAAGAGACTAAACCACTCACCAAAAGAGAGTGAACCCCTCCACCAGTCCACAACATAATAGAATCCTCACGTTTCCAAATTCCACTACACTACTGACCGAGCATTCAATAACACTTGGTCCCATGGGATCGATAATAAATAAGTTCGATCAGTCCATCTGAGCATACCTCTGTACTTTCATTGATTGGGGAACCGTACAGGCATTTTTCTAGCATATTCCAAACAGCAAGGAATTTGACCCGGGGGTCAAGGTGCCCCAGCCGTGTTGAATAGACCCCAACGAAGGCAAACAATCTTATGTCGGATCTTCTAAATGCAAACACAACCGTAGTTTGAAAGCGAACAACATTATATAGACGAGAAATCTTATTCAGCCTTTAGACCAACAATAATTTGTGTTCTTTACCTACACGAAGAAAAAACCTCGTAGGCTATTTCAAATGCAAATACCGTAGGACGATAGATTCAATGTAAACAACATTGCATAGACTGACGGGGGGAAAACATCGAGCGCCTAAACATAAAGTAGTCTGCTGTGATTGATGTTTGCATAGCGTTGTTGTTTGATGTTAGCAGTAGCAACGTTCTGACAGCGAAGGCCTTAAGTCTGTGATAGATTTTTGGGAGGGGGGGAGGTGGACTCACTGGCTGAAAATGTTAACGTGTATACCTACATTTTAGGCTGATATAATGTAGTCGCAATGAAGTGGCGAATGAATATGTGGTATATTATTATATTTTCAAAATCTGTCGGCTAGCGGTGCAACTTATTGATTTACCTAATCATTTTAAATAGCCACAATTTTGCGAAATAATAATTTTAATACTAAGAGTTAATGTATAACATCTCTCAAAATCACAACCATCCCTCTTTTCAAAATGATAAAACACCCCGATTCAGGTGATTTAGCAAAAGACATTTTCGTAAAGAATTATTATGTTTAATAATTATGTTTGTCTCAAATTTTTTAACTTAATATTTAAAAACATATAAAACACTGCCTTCAATTTAAGCATGAGATCCAATTAACTAAGGTTGGTTGAAAATTCCTTAATATTTCCCTGGCAAACAAATTCAGTCACATGATCTTGGGATCACTAAAAATAGTCACCTTTCATTAGGCAGATTGTTCAGGTATAGTTACACTAATAGGTAAAATCTTAGTTTAGCGTCGTAAATTCGGCCAAAACTAGTAATGTAGGAGAGAGTGCATTAATGAATATGTCATTAAATATGAGTATATTTTCGTATATTTTGATAAAATATGATAAATAATTGAATAATAGATCACCATTTATGGTTAAATCAATTTAAATATCCTGAAATTAATTTTTATCAACCCTGTTCGAGATAGTAAATTTGCTATTAAAAACAGCAGCCATCTTAAGAAAATGTTATTTAGAGTAGCTTCCCTTTCATTTCTATTCGTATAAAAATGTATTTAAATATGATTGTCTTGTTGTATAGTCCGTATTACAAAGCATTTTTTTTTTAATTCTGCTCTTTAAAAAATGAATTTCCTAACAAACAACTTTATTAATTCTAGAAGCATTGTGAGATGCAACTTGTATCCATGTTTTAAATCACGTTTTTTTTTACTAATGTTTATTTGATCTTACTATTACTATATAGTTTGAGTTTTTTCTTATTGTTTGAAAGTTCATTATTTTCATTTCAGGTTTTTCTTTTCATCAATTAGTGATTCTATCGTAACTTATGACATTTTTTACTTCTCTTTACCTTAATTAAACCCAACCTCCGTCATATTTTTGTTGTCAATGTCACCACAAGTCATAAGGGGTCATCCATAAATGACGTCACACTCGTAGGGGGGGGGGAGGCGGGTCGGTAATTTTGTGACGATGTGTGATGAGGGGGAGGGGGGGGTTCAGATATTGCGACGTCACATTTTTGCATTATAAAAAAGCAATGTTAGAAAACGAATTTTAGACGTTATTTCTCGTTTTAGGAAACTGTTTTAATAACTTGTAATAGTTTAGACAAGATTTTGAAAAAATATCGATGTTTAAAAAAAATTCAACTACAATTTTGAGGGGGGTTGTAGGTTGAGGTGTGACGTCATTTTAGGGGGGGGTCTGGCTTTTTGTGACGACGTGTGACAGAGTGGAGGGGGGGGGATGGTAAAAATCGTCAAAAAAAGCGTGGCGTCATTTATGGATGACCCCTAATGTAAAATATTACTCTTCGCTCTGCCTTATCTAAGATCTCTAGCCATAATTTTGACAACAATAAATGTTTGTCATCATTTATATATACAGAGAGACAAAATGTATTATCCACCAGCTTCCCTCATAAAACATCATCTAAAATAATCAGCCACTCCACCCCTTAAGTGCGTGTTGTCATTATGGTCGATCGCAAGTCTCCACCTGCCAGACACATTTTGGTTATCCTTTGTTGTCAAAATGTCAATATTAAGTACCCAAGTGAGTGATATGGGGTTGTCCATAAATGATGGGACATATGATTTGCTACGGGAGTGAGTGAAGATTTGTGACGTCAACTCAGGCGGCTCCGTAATGTATGACGTGTCGGTCTCATGAAAGGAGGTGAACGGGGAAAAATACCTAGGTGGTTGATGGAGAACCTCTATAATGCTTTGTTCAATCAAAATAACGATAACTAAGCATTAGTATACGTATACCTTGCTTAAAACGAATCATCACAAATGTTGCAAGCCTGCTAGTGTAAGACATTTGGCAAAACGGCCTTAACTTAACACATTATCCCCGTCAAAAAGGCTTGCCACCAAATGCCTGCCGACGAATAAGCCGCGTCTAATGCGGGGCGTTAGGAATACGGCCATTAGCATGGGCCGCGTTAGAGCACCAGTAGGCTATCGCGCTTTGTAAGAAATACTTAAATTCATCCTGTTTTCACCACGCTTCTTTTGGAGCTTAACATGGGTAATCTAGTTCTATACGGTGAGAGCTTAATACCTTTTTAAAGGGCCGAATGTCTCAAGACAGCAAGCTTGCAGAAATAACTACGTACGTTTAAATGGACGAGTGATAGGTATGTTAGGGGCTGTTTAATGAACACCAACTTAGGTAATCAAATTAAACGTCGCATAAGCGTCAAAAAGGCAGTGCTTGTTGTTTTTTTTATATAAAATTAGCCTAACGGTCGGCGGTACCGGTACATGACGTCACGTGCGAGCGTTAACTCCGTGACGATGTACTAAGTGGGTGAATGAAAAAGGTGGGGTTCAAGAAATGCGACTCAGCAAGCTTTTTACATTTCTTGACCCTTCTTAATGGTTCTATCGTCCCCACTGAGAAAATGGATCACCAATGAATGACGCGTCATACTTCTCCCACAACCATCCCCTGTTTTCACGAAAAAAAAAACCTGACCCGTCTCCAAAATCACATCGCTGAGTTCTACTCAACCTCTCCCCACCACAAATCACAATTTCTATCTGAAACAATATGTTCATATGTTTGTTCTGTAATAATGCACGCTGTCATTACTATCCTAAGAGCGACGCCATTTATGAGCGATCTCATATTGATTTGATTACTGCAAATAAAATGTTCAAAAAGTTCGACCTCCCAACAATTGTTGTGGTCTTGGATGCACACTATTAAGTCTGAAAAGGTCTATTAGTCATTCATGTCAACTATATTGGAAAAAAAATTACTATACAGGGGGATCATCCATAAATGACGTCACGCTTTTCTTAAAGATTTTTACCTCCCCCCAGTGGCGTAGCGAGGTCGGGTGTCACCCGGTGCGGCACTTAATGGTGTCACCCCCCCAGAGGCATAGAGACCCTTCCCAGGGACAAACTTTCAAATTTTCGATTTGCACCCCCCCCCTCAAACTTTCGATTTGCACCCCCCCCTCAAGTTTTCGATTTGCACCCCCCCCCCCTCAAACTTTCGATTTGCACCCCCCCCTCGAGTTTTTCTCTATATATTTTGCTATTTTTTGCCTTGGTGTCACCCCCCTAAATGGTGTCACCCGGTGCGGTCCGCACCCCCCGCCCCCCTCTCGCTACGCCCCTGCCTCCCCCCCTCCCCTCCGTCACACGTCGTCACAAAAAGCCAGACCCCCCCCCTAAAATGACGTCACACCTCAGCCAAAACCTCCCTCAAAATTGCAGTTGAATTTTTTTTAAAACAGCTATATTTTTCCAAAATCTTGTCTGAACTCTGTCAAAATAGAGTATTTTAATCAATTGTTACTACAATGTATTAAAACAGTTTTCTAAAACGCAAAATAACGTCTAAAATTCGTTTTCTAACATTGCTTTTTTATAATGCAAAAGTGTGACGTGGCACCATCTGAACCCCCCCCCCTCCCCCTCATCACACACCGTCTCAAAATTACGGACCCCCCTTCCCCCCTACGAGTGTGACGTCATTTATGGACGACCCCCAGGCATATATTAAAACAATACAAAACAATCATATTAAACCACAAAATCAACACAAAAGACATGCGAATAGACAATTTTTCAAGGGAAACTACTCTATTATTGTTTTTGAAACATGGCTGCTGCTTGTCTTTACTCATTGCTGTCTCGAACGGGGTAGTTTAAAGTTTATTCCAGGATATTTATGACTGGTTTGGTCTTGGATTGTGATTTGTTATTCAATTATCTGTTATATTATGTAAAATATGACATAAATATGGCCAAATTAAAGAAATATTCATTAGTTACCTTCATCGCTCATTACTAGCTACGTTGGAATTTACGACGCTAAACTAAGATTTTACCCACTAATACACTACTAGACTCTAGATCTAGATTCATTCTACAAGACTGTAGATCTAATTAATAAACTACTAGGTCTAGCGAGAGTCGATTTATTTTTTAGATCTAAACCAAACTAGATTTCAAAATGGTATAAGTTCACCTGAATTCTAATTAGTTTTTTTTATTTAAAATTTCCCGCTGAAAAAACTTTGACAGCCGAGTTAAATTTTTAAAAAGTTAAGATTTAAGACTAAGATTTTCTTCTCTAAAATTCTATTTCTTCCCTTCTTGATTCTAGAATAAGTCTTAGAAACTAATTCTAGATCTAGATCTAGATTCTAAGATTAGATCTAGGTTCTCTTGTTGTAGACCTTTAGATCTTACTTCTATACTAGATCTATATTAAGAATTATTAATTTAATACTAGAGTAGAGATTAGTATAGTTAGAGTGTTAGACCAGAATTTCTTCCAGGCATCTTTTCGATGAAAATGAAATTTATATAGAAAATATATACTTTTAACAGTGTACCCCCCCCCCAAAGAAAGTCTATGCCCCCCCCCCCCCCAGAGAAAAAAGTCTGGAAGAAAAACTGTGTTAGACTAGTAGTAAGTAGAGCCAGCATTATTCAATCATTAGTCTTGAGAAAATTTGAGTAACTGAACTAGATCTAGATCTAGATTCCAGTTTTAAAAAAAATCCACAGAGGTTTTGGAAGGAACTAAATGCTAAATGATCATAAAAGTAAAGTACACCTCAAATCTCTCAGTGAGGTAGATAAAACCTGTTTCAGTGACCTCGGCACATGTGAAGTAACAGTGATAGTGTGGTCAGCACTACGACCATCCATATTTACTTTCCATAGCATGATTGTAGCATTAATCAGAGCTGGGTAGACCCATTGGCATCATATGGGCTTGGGCCCAGGATCCAAACTCTAGACTTTCTGGCTATCTGTTGAATGCTGTACCATACGACCACACTTACCCAACTGAACAATTTTTACTAGTGGTAGGCTAAGGCTTAAAAGTATTGATTAGTTCATTTTATATATTTTTGTGTGATTCATAAAATCTGACAACAGATGGATTTTGATGATATTCTTGAGTACATTGGAGACTTTGGAACCTACCAAAAAAGAGTTTACCTTTTGCTTTGTATTTTAACAATATTTCATGGGATGAGGATGGTGGTGATGGTATTTATCCTCTTTGTACCTAAACACAGGTGAGATAGAAATAAATGGAAAAAAAAAGTTCTGTTAACAATTGTCAATGTAAGGAAAGTAAATCTAAACAAATATTCTCTGTTATTTCCCTTTACATCAATATTGGGGAAAGTCTCACCTGGAAGTATTTTGTTTTTTGTGACCTGGTTATGTGGTGTTACTGGCATACTCGCCCTATAAAGCTCAGTTTAGAGTATTGACACTATATATATATATATATATATATATATATATATATATATATATATATATATATATATATATATATATATATATATAGATAGATAGATAGATAGATAGATAGATAGATAGATAGATAGATAGATAGATAGATAGATAGATAGATAGATAGATAGATAGATATAGATATATATATATATATCATACTTTAAAAAAATTAAATGATTGTATTGTTTAATGTTTTGAATTTCCACTACAGATGTCTGATACCAGGGTATTTAAATGATACTTATGAAGTGACCACAGCAGAACATCTAGCAGCTGTAGAGAAATCCATTCCACCAGGCAGCTCATGCTATGTCTATCAGCTGGACAACTATACAAGTAGCGGGCCAACAACTAGTGCAAGCCTGGTCAAATGTAACCATTGGGTGTATGATCAGTCTATGATGTTTTCAACAGTAGCTAGTCAGGTATGTTGGCCATTTTAACTCCACAACCTGGGCACTCAATCCTTTTGAGTAGTTTTAGTTTTAAAGATGGAAATTAATTAAAGGGCTACAGAGTTAGGAACAAATCTATCTCTTGCATAATTTTCTACAACATTAAATCAAAATCTTATTTTAAGGTGTCAATATTTCCAAAACTAAAAATAATTTTAATGTGAGTTAGAATTTAAGAGTGTTTGATTAGGAAAGAAAGGATAACATTTTTACAACTGCAACTCATTACCAGTTCAACTTGGTTTGTGATGAAGCTCTGAAAGCCTCTCATGAGACAATGATTTACTACGGTGGATTTTTGGTCAGTACCTTTGTTATAGGAACAGTTTCTGACCGGTAAGTTACCACTGTGGTTTTTATCTGTTTGGGATATTTTTGTTTTTTTTTTTGTCACTTATGGGACAGCGTGTTTTGACATTGAATCCTTAAGTCTGTAGAAGGTCACTCAGTCTACCCAAGGGTAAATAAAGGTAGCTGAGCATAGAACTGATCACATTATCCTTTCATATGCTGAGTTCACAGGAACAGGTCAACTATACTTCTTCTGCCCTATTGACTATCAGGTCCAAAGGTTGTTTTCTATATTGTTGCCAATGTATTAAGATTAAATTTTATTAAGTTTTTTAATAAAATGTAAATATTTTAAAAATATTATTCTTGATGAACGTTGACTTTCAGTATTGGACGCAAGCTTTGCTTATATTGGTCCTTGACTGTTGCAGTTGTAGCTGGCACACTGTTAGCCTTCACTCAAAGTTTTCTCACCTTTACAGTCCTAAATTTTATTGTCGGAGCAGCTACTGCAGGCATCTTCCCCACAGCTTACGTAATGGGTAAGTCATCCCCACAGCTTATGTAATGGGTAAGTCATCCCCACAGCTTATGTAATGGGTAAGTCATCCCCACAGCTTATGTAATGGGTAAGTCATCCCCACAGCTTATGTAATGGGTAAGTCATCCCCACAGCTTATGTAATGGGTAAGTCATCCCCACAGCTTATGTAATGGGTAAGTCATCCCCACAGCTTATGTAATGGGTAAGTCATCCCCACAGCTTATGTAATGGGTAAGTCATCCCCACAGCTTATGTAATGGGTAAGTCATACCCACAGCTTATGTAATGGGTAAGTCATCCCCACAGCTTATGTAATGGGTAAGTCATCCCCACAGCTTATGTAATGGGTAAGTCATACCCACAGCTTATGTAATGGGTAAGTCATCCCCACAGCTTATGTAATGGGTAAGTCATCCCCACAGCTTATGTAATGGGTAAGTCATCCCCACAGCTTACGTAATGGGTAAGTCCCCACAGCTTATGTATCCTATGTAATGTATTAAATACTTCAAACAAAGTAGATCACTTTGCTGGATCTAACCTACTTGTCATTATTTAGTTGTTTTGTATAAAAAAATATCAATGTCTTGTCAGCGTTAGATGTTTGAGTGTCACCCACTTAACACATTAAAAAAAGCAGCCTGTTAATGTTGACCCAATAGGGATAGAGCTAGTTGGGCCATCTAAAAGATCTCTGACTGGAATGGTTTTTCTCCACAGGGATAGAGCTAGTTGGGCCATCTAAAAGATCTCTGACTGGGATGGTTTTTCTCCACAGGGATAGAGCTAGTTGGGCCATCTAAAAGATCTCTGACTGGGATGGTTTTTCTCCACAGGGATAGAGCTAGTTGGGCCATCTAAAAGATCTCTGACTGGGATGGTTTTTCTCCACAGGGATAGAGCTAGTTGGGCCATCTAAAAGATCTCTGACTGGGATGGTTTTTCTCCACAGGGATAGAGCTAGTTGGGCCATCTAAAAGATCTCTGACTGGGATGGTTTTTCTCCACAGGGATAGAGCTAGTTGGGCCATCTAAAAGATCTCTGACTGGGATGGTTTTTCTCCACAGGGATAGAGCTAGTTGGGCCATCTAAAAGATCTCTGACTGGGATGGTTTTTCTCCACAGGGATAGAGCTAGTTGGGCCATCTAAAAGATCTCTGACTGGGATGGTTTTTCTCCACAGGGATAGAGCTAGTTGGGCCATCTAAAAGATCTCTGACTGGGATGGTTTTTCTCCACAGGGATAGAGCTAGTTGGGCCATCTAAAAGATCTCTGACTGGGATGGTTTTTCTCCACAGGGATAGAGCTAGTTGGGCCATCTAAAAGATCTCTGACTGGGATGGTCATCCAACTGTTTTTCTCCACTGGTGTTGTGCTGTTGTCTGGTCTAGCCTACTTGACCAGGGACTGGAGGCATCTAGTGCTGTCTATAACCCTTCCTCTGATCATCTACTACTGTTTTTGGGGGTAAGTCACATGAGTTTGTCATTATCTTCTCTTACATCCAGTTTGATTTAAGTAATTCAAGCTATCAGTACACCTACTTGTTTCTACCAAACAAATAACATTGACCTATTTAGGCCCTACATATATTTTAGAAAGTTATTCTTAATCCAACATAGGGCTACCTCCTAATTATTTGTAATACATGTATCACTATAGAAAAAAAGAGCTAAAGATTTTAAATTTTCTTTAAGCCTCTATATCATTATTTGTGTTCTAAAAAATTGATTTTAGTCTTCTAGCTAGCGTTGTATTCATTTGATCAAGCCTTCTATATTGCACTAGCTAATACTTTATAATTTCAATGGAAGCAGTTAGCATTCAAATTTTTGTAAAACATCCTATGTAGCTAATGTAAATTTAAAAATGAACTGTTCAAACGTTAAAATTTTTGTAAAACATCCTATGTAGCTGATGTAAATGTAAAAATGAACTGTTCAAACATTTGACATTTCAGTTTTATTCCAGAGTCGACAAGATGGCAGATCCAGAAAGGTTACTTCAGGGACGCCCGCCAGACTGTGCTAGCTGTTGCCAGGATTAATAAAAGAGAGGTGCCAATCTCAGTTTTGGATGCTGTCATGCCAGATGTGCCAGGTAGAGTAAACTCTCAAGGTCACAGAGAGAAGGCTAACAAGGTCAAAGGTGGAAGTTTCTTTGAATTGTTCAGGTACAGGATTCTCTTCATTCGAACGTGGATTATCTTTTATAATTGGTAAATTCATTTCTTATACATTCATTTTTTTATAGAATATTCAAATTAATTTATAATGGCCTTGGCCCAGTTGGTTGAGAGGGACCAGGTCATTATTGATAACATGGACAAAAGTATTTTGGCGATTCTTTTACATTTTGTAAAGTTACTGAAAATATTAAAAACAAGAAATGCATCCAAAAACCACTCAATCAATTTTTAAATCACATTTAATAACATTGTGTGCACTGTTACAATAAATTCCTATCTCCCTTTTTCAAGACCTTTGGGCCAATGACATTTATAAATTAATTTTTCACAATTTTATTTTTGCAATAGGCCTACATTATTTGCCAAATTCAGTCATCATGCTAATAGTCAAGTGTTCTTCTGTTGCACATGTGGACATTTTACCTGTAGGGTTATTATTCAATATGTAAAGTAAGCTTAATGTAAATTCCCCTCTCGGACTGAATGATTCATAGGGAAGATGAAGTAGAGTTCATATGTTTCTTGACATCAGCAAATGAAGGTATGGTGTGGTCAGCACGATGCCCAACAACCTTAACTTTCATGTTAATGAGTCAGATACCCATCAGAGCTGGGGGACAACCTTCAGGCTCAGGACTGGGCCTGGATATGAACTGAGATGCTTGGTTAGAAATCAAATGCTTGCCCATTACATTCAGTAATGTTCTAATGAACTTGTTATATTGTTTACTGTGTAGATCTTGGTTCTGGTCTTCCCAGGTTTGCCATCAGCCTATCTTTTTACGGACTCAACTACAACTCCGGTAACCTTGGCGTTGGTTCCATTTTCTTAAACTTTTCTTTAGCTGGACTGGTGGAGTTTCCAGCCTATATTTATACTCTCTGCACTATAAACAGGTATGCTTATTTTACTTTGGTTTTTACTATAAACAGGTAGGCTTATTTTACTTTGGTTTTTACTATAAACAGGTATGCTTATTTTACTTTGGTTTTTACTATAAACAGGTAGGCTTATTTTACTTTGGTTTTTACTATAAACAGGTAGGCTTATTTTACTTTGGTTTTTACTATAAACAGGTATGCTTATTTTACTTTGGTTTTTACTATAAACAGGTAGGCTTATTTTACTTTGGTTTTTACTATAAACAGGTATGCTGATTTTATTTTGGTTTTATTCATTTTCTTTATGTTCAATAACAAACAGGCTAGGGGTCTGTGTGGTTGAGTTGGTTAAGCTCATGGTTGCTTAACTGAAAAGTCCTGAGCTCACATTCCGGGCAGATGATGCTCAATAGCTGGGTACAACAACCCATCTAGGAGAGACAACTCCAAAAACAAACAACTGCTCCCTTGTAGTTTGTTCTTGGATGGATAAAGGCTACAAAAAAAAGGCTGAAGTCAGCATCAACAGCCTATAAGACTCATAACATGCTAACCTTCAATGTTTCATTGTTTTTGAGGAAATCCCTTCAAACATTACAATTAAGAGGGAATAAGAAACAGAATAACAAAAAAAAATAGTTCTGGTGAGTTCTCAGCTAACATTTAACCCACTTTTGACCACAACATGTAAGGGACCTAACCAAGTCATTAATAAGACATGCAGCCTCAGTTGCAGGGATCATGCTAATGTTTTTAAAAAATCATCTTGTCAAAAGTGTAATTACTGTCTAGACCAAGGGAATCAAGAATTACAACTCTAAAGAAATGTATGGACCTATTCCAATTGAAACATGTTTTAAAGGTTTTTATGTAGAAATTATAAAGATAATGATCATGTAGCCCAAGTTTACAGATTTAAAAGTTGTAGAGTGTTTAAAAGCACTTGTTTGTACACAGGCTAGGGCGTAGGCTTGTACACTTCAGCATGATGGCCACTGGTGGGATGGCCTGCTTGTCTTGTGTTGTCTCCATCAAGTATGCTCCAAAAGGTAGGTGCCTCTAGTTACATGACAAATATTATGTTCCAAAAGGTAGGTGCCTCTAGTTACATGACAAATATTATGTTCCAAAAGGTAGGTGCCTCTAGTTACATGACAAATATTATGGTCCAAAAGGTAGATGCCTCTAGTTACATGACAAATATTATGGTCCAAAAGGTAGATGCCTCTAGTTACATGACAAATATTATGCTCCAAAAGGTAGGTGACTCTAGTTACATGACAAATATTATGGTCCAAAAGGTAGGTGCCTCTAGTCACATGACAAATATTATGGTCCAAAAGGTAGGTGCCTCTAGTTACATGACAAATATTATGGTCCAAAAGGTAGGTGCCTCTAGTCACATGACAAATATTATGGTCCAAAAGGTAGGTGCCTCTAGTTACATGACAAATATTATGGTCCAAAAGGTAGGTGCCTCTAGTTACATGACAAATATTATGCTCCAAAAGGTTACATGACAAATATTTCAACAAGGCAACAGTAATTCCATCTTTTGATCTCTTCACTTTACATATAGGTATTTGTATTTGTTATATGCTGCCTGTGTATTCACTAAATCATTCCTCTGCAGACTACCAGTGGCTGACTGTGGTTTTAGCAATGATTGGCAAGTTGGGTTCTGCAGGTGCATACAGCACTGTGTACGTGCACTCGACTGAACTCTTCCCCACGGTCATACGTCATTCAGCCTTTGGGGCCAGTGCCAGTTGGGCCAGGATAGGGTCCATGTTGTCACCATACATCGCTGCCATGGTAAGTAGCTCAGTCTTGTACCAACCTGAGGTCTTCCTTCTAGCACATCCACATGGGACTATAGTAGGGCAAAGTACCATTTTTACCTGATAAAGTTAATTGGAAGCGGTTACTTTTTGAAAAAAACTATACAGCTTGAAATAAAGATGTCTTTGCCAGTAGTTGAGTAGGCATTGAAAAATGTATTAATAATTAATTAAATATTTCTTTTCAAGTGGGTTCAGATATAAAAACTATCAATATGGGGTGGAGCGGGCTGACTTGAAGAGAATAATTTGTACATTTGGTGTATAAAATGAGACAACTTGGAGCCCATACCTGTCCCCATCATAATCTGACCAACTTGATTTATGTATCATCTATTAATAACCTTCATTGTACCTAATCCCCCCACCGACCCACCCCTTCCTGAGTTAGTTTTGATTGTTCTGGTTAGAGTTAATAGTTCATTCCTAACTTCAAAATTTAATTCTGTAATTGGTCATGCAGGGAAGTAACTCATGTTTCTGCTATTGGTTATGCAGGGAGCTAATGATAGTGGTATTTTTGGTCATGGTCTGCCCCTGTTGATCTGTGGCTGTGTGATGCTCAGTGCTGGATCCTTGGCCCTGCTGCTGCCAGAGACACTCAACAGGAAACTGCCAGAGACCATCACTGATGCCAGGCACTTCACCAGGTGGGTTGGTCTCTACAGGCACTTCACCATGTGGGTTGGTCTCTACAGCAGGTGGGTTGGTCTCTACAGGCACTTCACCAGGTAGGTTGGTCTCTACAGGCACTTCACCAGGTGGGTTGGTCTCTACAGGCACTTCACAAGGTGGGTTGGTCTCTACAGGCACTTCACCAGGTGGGTTGGTCTCTACAGGCACTTCACCAGGTGGGTTGGTCCCTACAGGCACTTCACCAGGTGGGTTGGTCTCTACAGGCACTTCACCAGGTGGGTTGGTCTCTACAGGCACTTCACCAGGTAGGTTGGTCTCTACAGGCACTTCACCAGGTAGGTTGGTCTCTACAGGCACTTCACCAGGTAGGTTGGTCTCTACAGGCACTTCACCAGGTGGGTTGGTCTCTACAGGCACTTCACCAGGTAGGTTGGTCTCTACAGGCACTTCATCAGGTGGGTTGGTCTCTACAGGCACTTCACCAGGTGGGTTGGTCTCTACAGGCACTTCACCAGGTGGGTTGGTCTCTACAGGCACTTCACCAGGTGGGTTGGTCTCTACAGGCACTTCACCAGGTGGGTTGGTCTCTACAGGCACTTCACCAGGTGGGTTGGTCTCTACAGACACTTCACCAGGTGGGTTGGTGCACTTCACCAGGTCGGTTGGTGCACTTCACCAGGTGGGTTGGTCTCTACAGGCACTTCACCAGGTAGGTTGGTCTCTACAGCAGGTGGGTTGGTCTCTACAGGCACTTCACCAGGTGGGTTGGTCTCTACAGGCACTTCACCAAGGGGGGTGGTCTCTACAGGCACTTCACCAGGTGGGTTGGTCTCTACACCCCTTCACACTTATGAGTTTCAACTAAAAATCTGCTCTGTTTATCATTCTCTTATATAACAATAGGCTCAATTTGTAACCTGCAAAAGAGAACTAGCTTTTAACATTGTGTTGTTTTTTGTGTGTGTTTTTTTTGTACACCTGTCATCTGACAGACTTTGTTTGCTAGTTATGGCAAGAATAGGAAGGCCTTCAACAATTTAAATATTCTTATTTTTTTCAAAGGTCAGCCTATATGACTGGTGATGTCAATATAGTAACAACAGGAATGAGTGTGGGTACAGGTGTTGAATTGGGGACTGATTCAGACAATGATGAGAGGACAGGAACAGACAATGATGTGAAGACAGGCAGTGATGTGAAGACAGGCAGTGATGTGAAGACAGGCAGTGATGTGAAGATGGAGACAAAAACTTGAAGCTGTTAGGCCATCAACACATCAAACATCTGGATGTTGCTTGAGTTTATGTGAACCTACCTCAGACATGACACCTATAATATTGACCTACCTCAGACATGCAGGCTACTTTATTTATCTTAATAAAGCAAGCAAATGTTCTTTATATAAGTGTCATACATTTGTTAGTTTATTTTTTAAACTGTAAAATTAATAGCTTAAGACACTCGTTTGTTCCAGCCTTAAAAAAACAACTCTCTGTCTATACGACTGAAGCTTTATTTTATTAGTCGTTTTTATTTTTAATGTTTGATGTGTTTCTGTCCAATTCATTCATTTCTTCACACTCTCCCCACCCCCTTACGCTTTTGGACCTTACGTGTCCCAGTTTTATATTCACAGTAGGCCTATGGATATAATTATAATACCAAGTTTCTTGTTGACAATATTGACCCACATTTTTTTTCCCCAAAAAAATGTGGACCAACAGCTTGAAACTTTTCCGAACGGGAAAACCCGTAGGTTTTCCAACGGATCCGAGCCACGTCAGGTCCGTGGGATTGTGAGCTTATGTGTAAACACGTTCTGGTGTCCGTATTTTTACGTGGGTGTTTTGTGTAGGTCTATATTTAACTATTGCTCAATAGAAATGAAATATGTAGGCCTATGATTTTTAAATGCTATTTATGTGCTTTAGTGCTAGGCTACCAACTATAAAAAATTGTGGGATTAAGTTTGAAAAGTGTGCACTATTAAAAATTCTCTCCTAGTCTATCCCCATACATGACGTAAATTTCCTGATAGTTGTTGCTATGTTGGCCACTTAGTCCTATTCTGTGGCTTCACTAGGAGAGGGCGACACCAAATGGACGGTAACCAAAGTTTACTGAGAATATGGGACAGCACGGTCGGACACAACTGAAAGTCTCGAGTTCGGATACCGAATCGTCCCACTCCTTTGGACACTTGACTTACTTTAGGGATGGTTTAACGGCTGTCAATATGTTGAGGTCAAATAAGTAGATGAACTTTAGCCCAATGGACTGAGGGGAAAAGTTGATTTAGCCTATCTAGTTAGAATTTGGAAAAGGGTGACACCAAGGCGAAAATATATTATCTCCATCCTACATCAGATTAAGTTCTACTGGGTATACGTGTGTATATATTAGCCAACACGTGGGGGGGGGGGGGACACGCTTGGTCAACTTAAAATGTTGTGACGCTGTCTCCAGATGTAAACAATCAACACGGCCATGTGACATCGAAGCTGATGCAACATCTGGTCATGCTTTAGACTCAGGGGTCTCCAAACTTTTTAGCCCGAGGGCCGCATTAAATATAAAAAATCAGTTCGGGGGCCAGAGTTTTTTCCAGGCATCTCTTCGGGGAGGTACAGCCTCCCCCCGAAGAATGGCTACCTCCCCTTCTCCCCCCCCCCCCCTCACGAAATATAATTTATATAGACATGTATACAAATTTCAAGTGTCGTCGTCCACCCCTCCCCGGAGAAAAAATTCTGAAAGAAACACTCTCAGAAGGCCTTTTGGTGGGTGTATAGATCAGAAACTAGATTTCCCTCTCTTGTAGTTTTAGGTTCAGGAATTTTAAATGGCGTGTAGTGTTATGTTTGCAGCAGAGGCCAATTTCTATACTTTTCATCAGACATTAATGACAGCGGCCTGCTTTATTTTCCATAATTACCTGTTTCCTTTCTTAACTTAATACCCTACTCAGAACTTTCTCACAAGTTAGTCATCTTATCGGTAAATCTTGCTATACTGTGTTTGTATCATTCATTCAACGTCTCTGAACTATATATGGTTGAGCCCATGTGACTATGTGACCTTATTAAATTCACCATCTTCAACACAGGATTCGCTACACTGCGTATGTCCACATATTAAGCACACAAAGCTTGCTGGTGAATAAATAATACAGTGCAGGAACATTGGTCGTAGAATGTTTTTCTCATTACACATCTGCTCCGCTTGTCCAACCAAGCCTTTCTTTATGCCACTTTCCTCCATCAACAGTCCAGTCCAAGTTACAATCAGCAAATTTTAACTCATTGAATATATCATCTACTGTAACAGTGGCATAAATGCCAGCTCTTGTGGTATGTTCATGTTTTCATCCACACCTCTAATAAACACAAGCAGTTGAGAGGTGGAACCGCTGTCCAGCGACTCATCCATTGCAATTGAAAACTTGCGAAACTTGCTTACATTTTTAGCTATTTAAGTCACAGTGTTTATACCAATGTCTGCTACGTAGTAGGCAACGGTAGTTGCACCCTAAGCTACATTTTCAAATTGTTATGAATTTTCTGGGCAAAGTTCCTCAGCCACCTCCAACAGAAAAAAATTTCCGTGGACAAAAAGATCTCCGCGGGCCGGATGAGAAGACCTCGCGGGCCGCATCCGGCCCGCGGGCCGTAGTTTGGAGACCCCTGCTTAGATGTACCCTTCTCGAGACTTGACGCACTTTACTCTGCTTGTTGTCAACAATGTTGATTATAGACAGATGTCTATAATTATTTACAGCAACACAGCCGGGGACGGGATCAAGGGGAAGAACTGGTATAGACCCTATGGGGTCATCCATAAATGACGTCACACTCGTAGGGGGGAGGGGGGTCCGTAATTGTATGATGAGGGGGGGGGGGTTCAGATGTTGCGACGTCACATTTTTGCATTATAAAAAAGCAATGTTAGAAAACGAATTTTAGACGTTATTTCGCGTTTTAGAATACTGTTTAAATAAATTGTAATAGTTTAGACAAGATTTTGGAAAAATATCGATGTTTTAAAAAAATTCAACTGCAATTTTGAGGGGGGTTGTAGGTTGAGGTGTGACGTCATTTTAGGGGGGGTCTGGCTTTGTGTGACGGAGGGCAGGGGGGGGGGGGGTAAAAATCGTCCAAAAAAGAGTGACGTCATTTATGGATGGCCCCTATGCCCCACATATTAAGAGGATTAAGTCAAGTTACAAGCTTTAACTTATAACTAATATAACCTATTCATTGAGTCTACTTGTTGAGTATAGATTTATTGTCTATAGATTATGTTTTATTCAAAATAACAGCTATGTTATAGCCTGTCCGTAAAGCCTTATTATAGTAGCTGGTCTTGCAGACTAACATTCAATGTAGGCCTACTACCTATGTGTTAGTTCATGACATACGCCAACACGTGTAGTTTTACGAGCAGTATGTGTGTCAAGTATTATTATGACAGCTGTATGTCGAAGAAAGACAAGTGATGTCAACTTAATTGCTTATAGACTAAAATGGGACAGACGAATGTGTGCGGACTACTCTATTGAAGTTTATTTATAGTCATTGGGGAAACTCACACGACCCACGCAGTTTTTCATATTTTTAACACGTGTAGATTATAAAAATGCGATTGAGACAAAATTAACAAATATTGTATACCAATTTTATAAATAATAATTTAATGTTATATTTATTTGACAATTGACAAAATGTTGAATGTAGTTAGTCAATAAAATTCTTGATCTAACATTATTAGGCCTATCATAATATCATAATGTTGCATAGTTTTTATTTGACTTTGACCTACTTACAATATCCGGGAAGTTGATAATCGAGAAACCTAGCTTTGGGAATTCCCGAACAAAATTTCCAAGTGGATTGGAGTTCATTTAAAAATACTGTGACACATCTCTATGTACTTTGGCTTAGTTTTTATTACAGACGGTATAAAACCGTATGCGGTGTAGAGGACTAGAGCAATACACACGACAATAAGCGATTTTCTTACAAGGTACGTTTGGTTTTAATATTTAACATATTTTTGTTATGTGTATAGGCCTAATTAATAGGTCTAGACATTTTTTTCCTACTTTTTAGTAGTTCTTAATTAGGAAATGTTAACAGAACCGATCTGAGCTAAATTTAACGTACATTTATTTGTCAAAGCTAGGCTTATTGGATATTTCATGATGTAATTTATTGTAAAATAAATGATCTGGGGCCCTACTTTCCATTTATGAGATCTTTAATCGATATTAATTTTTTTTTCTTCTAGTATAGGCGTTTGGTCAGAACAATAATGGGGAATATGTATGTCGATTCACAATACTATAAGGCTTAAGGGGGGAGTTGTGTTGCATTAGACGTTTTCTGTTGTAGTGGTGTTTATAGACTAGATATAATTGTGTTTATAGACTAGATATAGTTGTTTGGGGGATTAGGTGTAGTGGTGTTTGTGGGATTAGGTGTAGCAGTGTTTGGAGACTAGGTATTGTTTCTCTGTATTATTTCTATATTAATATCCAAATACACCTGTATAGGCTCCAGTAATGGTTTTACCACACCAACGTCCTATCACTACACCAACGTTCTATCACCACACCAACGTTCTATCACCACACCAACGTTCTATCACCACACCAACGTTCTATCACCACACCAACGTCCTATCACCACATCAACGTTCTATCACCACATTAACCTATCACCACACCAACGTCCTATCACCACACCAACGTCCTATCACCACACCAACGTCCTATCACCACACCAACGTCCTATCACCACATCAACCTATCACCACACCAACGTTCTATCACCACACCAACGTCCTATCACCACATCAACCACACCAACGTTCTATCACCACATCAACCACACCAACGTTCTATCACCACATCAACCTATCACCACACCAACGTCCTATCACCACATCAACGTTCTATCACCACATCAACCTATCACCACACCAACGTTCTATCACCACACCAACGTTCTATCACCACATCAACCACACCAACGTTCTATCACCACACCAACGTCCTATCACCACATCAACCTATCACCACATCAACCTATCACCACATCAACCTATCACCACACCAACGTTCTATCACCACATCAACCTATCACCACACCAACGTTCTATCACCACATCAACCACACCAACGTCCTATCACCACATCAACGTCCTATCACCACACCAACGTTCTATCACCACACCAACGTCCTATCACCACACCAACGTTCTATCACCACACCAACGTCCTATCACCACATCAACGTCCTATCACCACACCAACGTTCTATCACCACATCAACCACACCAACGTTCTATCACCACACCAACGTCCTATCACCACATCAACCTATCACCACATCAACCTATCACCACATCAACCTATCACCACACCAACGTTCTATCACCACATCAACCTATCACCACACCAACGTTCTATCACCACATCAACCACACCAACGTCCTATCACCACACCAACGTTCTATCACCACATCAACGTTCTATCACCACACCAACGTCCTATCACCACACCAACGTCCTATCACCACACCAACGTCCTATCACCACATCAACCACACCAACGTCCTATCACCACACCAACGTTCTATCACCACATCTATCACCACACCAACGTCCTATCACCACACCAACGTCCTAGCACCACACCAACGTTCTATCACCACATCTATCACCACACCAACGTCCTATCACCACACCAACGTTCTATCACCACACCAACGTCCTATCACCACACCAACGTCCTATCACCACACCAACGTTCTATCACCACACCAACGTCCTATCACCACACCAACGTCCTATCACCACACCAACGTCCTATCACCACACCAACGTCCTATCACCACACCAACGTCCTATCACCACACCAACGTTCTATCACCACACCAACGTCCTATCACCACACCAACGTCCTATCACCACACCAACGTTCTATCACCACACCAACGTCCTATCACCACACCAACGTTCTATCACCACACCAACGTCCTATCACCACACCAACGTCCTATCACCACACCAACGTTCTATCACCACACCAACGTTCTATCACCACATCAACGTTCTATCACCACATCAACGTTCTATCACCACATCAACCTATCACCACACCAACGTTCTATCACCACACCAACGTTCTATCACCACACCAACGTTCTATCACCACATCAACGTTCTATCACCACATCAACCAAACCAACGTTCTATCACCACACCAACGTCCTATCACCACACCAACGTCCTATCCCCACACCAACGTCCTATCACCACATCAACGTTCTATCACCACACCAACGTCCTATCACCACACCAACGTTCTATCACCACACCAACGTTCTATCACCACATCAACCAAACCAACGTTCTATCACCACACCAACGTTCTATCACCACATCAACCTATCACCACACCAACGTCCTATCACCACACCAACGTCCTATCACCACACCAACGTCCTATCACCACACCAACGTTCTATCACCACACCAACGTCCTATCACCACACCAACGTTCTATCACCACACCAACGTTCTATCACCACACCAACGTCCTATCACCACACCAACGTCCTATCACCACACCAACGTTCTATCACCACACCAACGTCCTATCACCACACCAACGTCCTATCACCACACCAACGTCCTATCACCACACCAACGTCCTATCACCACACCAACGTCCTATCACCACACCAACGTTCTATCACCACATCAACCTATCACCACACCAACGTCCTATCACCACATCAACGTTCTATCACCACACCAACGTCCTATCACCACACCTACGGCCCATTCACCACACCAACGTCCTATCACCACACCAACGTTCTATCACCACATCAACCACACCAACGTCCTATCACCACACCAACGTTCTATCACCACACCAACGTCCTATCACCACACCAACGTTCTATCACCACACCAACGTTCTATCACCACACCAACGTCCTATCACCACACCAACGTTCTATCACCACATCAACGTTCTATCACCACACCAACGTCCTATCACCACATCAACGTCCTATCACCACACCAACGTTCTATCACCACATCAACCAAACCAACGTTCTATCACCACACCAACGTCCTATCACCACACCAACGTTCTATCACCACACCAACGTCCTATCACCACATCAACGTCCTATCACCACACCAACGTTCTATCACCACATCAACCAAACCAACGTTCTATCACCACACCAACGTTCTATCACCACATCAACCTATCACCACACCAACGTCCTATCACCACATCAACGTTCTATCACCACACCAACGTCCTATCACCACACCAACGTTCTATCACCACATCAACGTTCTATCACCACATCAACGTTCTATCACCACATCAACGTTCTATCACCACATCAACGTTCTATCACCACATCAACGTTCTATCACCACACCAACGTTCTATCACCACATCAACGTTCTATCACCACATCAACGTTCTATCACCACACCAACGTCCTATCACCACATCAACGTCCTATCACCACATCAACGTCCTATCACCACATCTATCACCACACCAACGTCCTATCACCACATCTATCACCACATCAACGTCCTATCACCACATCTATCACCACACCAACGTCCTATCACCACACCAACGTTCTATCACCACACCAACGTTCTATCACCACACCAACGTCCTATCACCACACCAACGTTCTATCACCACACCAACGTCCTATCACCACACCAACGTCCTATCACCACATCAACGTCCTATCACCACACCAACGTCCTATCACCACATCAACCTATCACCACATCAACCTATCACCACATCAACGTTCTATCACCACACCAACGTCCTATCACCACACCAACGTCCTATCACCACACCAACGTCCTATCACCACACCAACGTTCTATCACCACACCAACGTCCTATCACCACACCAACGTCCTATCACCACATCAACGTTCTATCACCACACCAACGTCCTATCACCACACCAACGTCCTATCACCACACCAACGTCCTATCACCACACCAACGTTCTATCACCACATCAACCACACCAACGTTCTATCACCACACCAACGTTCTATCACCACATCAACCTATCACCACACCAACGTCCTATCACCACATCAACGTTCTATCACCACACCAACGTCCTATCACCACACCAACGTTCTATCACCACACCAACGTTCTATCACCACATCAACCAAACCAACGTTCTATCACCACACCAACGTTCTATCACCACATCAACCTATCACCACACCAACGTCCTATCACCACACCAACGTTCTATCACCACACCAACGTCCTATCACCACACCAACGTTCTATCACCACACCAACGTCCTATCACCACATCAACGTCCTATCACCACACCAACGTTCTATCACCACATCAACCAAACCAACGTTCTATCACCACACCAACGTTCTATCACCACATCAACCTATCACCACACCAACGTCCTATCACCACATCAACGTTCTATCACCACACCAACGTCCTATCACCACACCAACGTTCTATCACCACACCAAAGTTCTATCACCACATCAACCAAACCAACGTTCTATCACCACACCAACGTTCTATCACCACACCAACGGCCTATCACCACACCAACGTTCTATCACCACATCAACGTTCTATCACCACATCAACGTCCTATCACCACATCAACGTTCTATCACCACATCAACGTTCTATCACCACATCAACGTTCTATCACCACACCAACGTTCTATCACCACATCAACGTCCTATCACCACATCAACGTTCTATCACCACACCAACGTCCTATCACCACATCAACGTCCTATCACCACATCAACGTTCTATCACCACACCAACGTCCTATCACCACACCAACGTTCTATCACCACACCAACGTCCTATCACCACACCAACGTCCTATCACCACATCAACGTTCTATCACCACACCAATGTCCTATCACCACACCAACGTCCTAT